CCAGTCGTAAACGGATGGATGCTTAATTTAGTAATTGTTCTCAAGTCCTTTATAATTATTATATTTAATAGTTATAAGAATACGATATAGACAAGGACAATTGTTCCGGAAACGATTTATAGCGAAGGCAGTATTCTTTAACATCAAGATTATCATCCACTCATGGTTTAGTACGAACCCACCTAGTGATTCACTTTGGTACGTCATTGGTACGGAGAGGTACCGTTGTTTGTGGATGATTTTTTTTTGATTCCTCGATACCTGGTTTTTGGTAATAAAGATACCATTTGTGGTCAGCATTTGTACTACCAAAGATCAAGTAGCTATAAATTGGGAAAAATCAATACCGACTTTTATGTAAATCCGCAAACAACGGTACCTTTCTGTAGATAGTGTTACACTTTCTGAATTCAACATATTTCTAAACTAACAGTTAAACTATCCTGAAAGACATAACACTCTTTGTTAATTTCCCTGTTCCTATGAGCCAGTGATGCTTTTGTGGACGGTAACGAATCACAACCTGCGCATCTATATCTTTCTCATACATTTATCAGATTATGCAACGGCAGCCAGAGAGATCCATTGCTTTTTTGTATTATTGTCGCCATGAGGACAATTCTAAGTCGCATGGCTGTTCATCGAACAACGACTCGCCGATAATTACCCTACTTTGAAGTTTACTTTGGCTACTTTGCCTGTCACCTTGCGGTTTGATGAACAAACAAACAGGTTGTGATCGTTCATCCAGTCGAGCCGAGCCGCGCGTCGCTATCTCGTCATTATGGAACGTATCCCATTTCAGGCTTCCGTTGCAGTTGCGCTAATTTTCAGCCCCACCTCTAGAGAGACGGCGAGGGAGCACGATGATGGATATCCATGTTAAATGGTGATGCAAATTTGTTTATTGATTTCCGTTCCAAAAAAAACACTGCTCAAACCATGGCGTTGATTGACAACTCGCGGATGATAGGTCAATAGATTAGTCGATCGGTGGCAGTAATTAAAATTATTTATTTGGATTCAACGTGCTCTAGAGGACTGCGTGAGACTGTGTAGTTGATTGAGTAGGAATGTTTTAAAAAATATTAATATTCTTGGCGAAAATGATACAAGGATGAGAATTGATTTTTTTTCTTTGATTTGTTTTCCGTCGATCTTGTTTTCCGTGCTGAGCACCAATGCTACCGACGCCAGGGAGACAGCTCCCACACCTGAACCCTACCTATCGACCCATCAACTCATGAACCGGGGACCAACGGCTTTACTTCCCTTCCCAAGGAAGGCGTGATCAGAGATGTTATGTCTCAGAACATCCCGGCGGCGTCGACTGGGATTGAACCCAGACCTGCTGGCTGGGGTGAGTGGTAATCACGCTTACCACTACACCACCGGCGCCGCTCAATTGAATATTATGACAAATTTAAATTGAATGAGCAATCGGATTTAATCTAATTTATGTTTCATGCCATAACACAACTGGCATAGCTTTTCACAATTCAAGAATCGGTAAAAATGATAAATCGCTTGTACAATGCTGTGACCACAAAAGGATGACACAGGGAAACATTCTTTTAACTAGAAATTTTTCCTTTTTTGGGAGGGAAAGGATTGAGCTTCATTATGAAGAAAACACGTAGTCTAAGGAATCCGTAATTTTGACCTCCGGTTTCCGGTTTTACATACCACAGCGTTTACAGCGTTGTAGACGAGAAAATTTCTTATAAGTACAGATTGCTTACTTACCCGTAATTCGTTATGGTTAAATGTTACGACGAGGGGATTAAATATCTCACTTTTCCCAATATAAATTTCAAAGGGACAGTGCAATATGATGTTGCATCCAAATGAGCTCAAAATTTGGGAGGACCTGACGACACTGATTTGGGTGCATTTTTCAATAAAGTAATTACAGTTACTTATTACAGTCAAGTAATTACTTGAGATTTTGGGGAAAAACATAATTGATGGGATTTATTTGAGTGTTTCGTCTTGACGAAAATAGAGCAGGGATAGATAAAAGAGATGGAAATGGATCAGGGAATGGTTTGGATGTGAGGGGTTATAACAATTTTTTCACGGTCGACGATGACAGGAGCACATACCGTGGTAGAGGTAACAATAGCTGCAAATTCCAAACCTACGACTGGATGCCTTCTTTCAGAAAACACCTTGAGTGCGGTAAAAATCGCTAGAACTGTTTCAAACACATCGTCGGTACATGAGCGAGTCGGCGATCATCTCTTTTTTCCAGTGGTGGTGGGGGGAATACCCCTCACCATCCCTCTCCAACAGGGGAGTATGGTAAAGAGCGATAATCAAACCGATTTGTACCTTCCTTAAGTTGTCCGTGCTCGCTTTCTACTCTCTATATACAATTTTCACACTACCGTACTCTAACGGAACTATCAACTCTATACTTTCATCTCCTCATCTATCTTTTAAAAAATTTCCACTTTAGTCTTTTATTTGAAATCAGCATTAGCAGTTGAAGTCTCTCTTATGTTTGCATGTTCTATTTTTTCTTGCTTTTCTATCATAATCTGGATCTTCCGTGTCTTATGGTTTCTGATCGAGGTTTTTTTTTGTCGCACCCCTACCTTCACACCACGTGCAATTACATGTTACTCCTTTAGCTCCCGATAAGCATGTTGGTTCGGATTATTTATTCTTTCTTTTTGATTTGACTATCTTTGGATTCCGTATCTTTTCTTCTTTCTAACTCTTGATCCTCTTCTAATTCATCATCTTCCTCCCGAATTTGCAACTTTTCTTAATACTCTTAATTCTAATGCTTTTGAATACTCCTTCTGTCTTAACACAAACGTAATTTCGTGCCAATTCTTGCGTAAACTGCGTAGAATATTCCTAGATTGTTGTTGTCTCTGTACACTACCCTAGCAGCACACTTATCACTGAAGAATTGTGGTTACTTTCGTGCAACTTATTCCAGTCACAATCAAGTTGCAGCAACTCATTTCGATGGAAGTGTGTTGCTTGGGTAGTTCATAACTGCTTCCTTTCGGTTTTTGCTAAAGTTGAGTAGGCATTCCTTCCGTTTTGCATTCCGCTTCGTTCGGTGGGTGAATGAGTCAGATCAATACTTCGTAGTAAACATAACCGTACTTGAAATACCTAGAACTCTTGGCGTGTCCATTAAGTTTGCCGTTAGATACGAACGACCGTTCGAGAAGTTCCCCGAGGAAAAGGCTCAATTTGCCGGGCAACATTTTAAACGCGAACAGTGTGGTCTCTCTTAATCAAGAGTGGCGCTGGTATCTGTGATAATTGCCTTATCATTTCACTAAAGAAAGCATCTACAATGCTTGGTCCATGACCTATGCATTTTCTAAGTACGTGATGTCCAGAAAAATTCACAAACTTCTACTAAAATTTTTCGGGAAAACTGGCCACCCCAGTTTTGTTTCATACAATGCTGAGACCATTCGGCCTAAACCTGTCTGTTAGTTTAAAAAAAAACTAACCTAAGTTTTTCAATTATGTCGGGCAAAATGCAAAACAACTAAGGGACAAAATATATGCTCTATACTAAAAGGATAGTGTAACTCACAACCAGTGTTGGCAAAATGATCAATCAAATGATATTTTTTCACTCTCATATGCTCTCAATATCACGCGTGATATTGGAACAAAATATCGTGTTTGTTTTTTTTTTTATTTTAAAGCTCCTTTGGTATTGAGAGGCTACTCACAATATGTAAAAAAAGAAGCTGAGATTAACTCGACACAAAAATGATTTCCTTAGATAGAGTATAGTTTTTGGTATCTCTCTTTACTCTTCATAGCAGACAGGAAGCCACTGCTGCCAGCACCCCCCAAGTAAAATTGCAGGTTTTATCGCGGTTTTATAGCATTCTACAAGTCTAAATCATGGTCTACAGAACCCTCATAAAACCAAAATTGTTACTTGGGTAGTTTCGGGTCGCGTTCGGATGTAAAGCAAAATTGATGAAAGTCAAACTCACCACAGCTGGTGAATTTTGTAAACTTATTCGTAGTTACAATAACGCAGCATGTATTTAATATCATCCGCTCTTGCTTGCTTGTTGATTTTTGTCTATGAAATTCAAGCGTGAGCATTGGTGAGATTTGATTGTTTGATAATTTCCTAACACAGCTCGCAACAAAGGTGTGACTTTAGACTGATGCTAATTTTTAAATTTTCGCTAAACAGTGCATAAACGGGTACCAAATCGGGTCATGATTAGCCTACCAAAATTTGCCCTCAATTTGACACAAACCATTTGAACCATTGATTGACGACAAATAAATAAAATGAATGAAGATTTGATTTTTTTATTATATTTTCCCAACATAGGTTCTTATTATTGACATTTGGAAAATATTAGTGACACTTGACAGCTGTCAAACATTCATAGGAGAGTGGTCCTATTAAATACTTGGCTTAGTCAACAGTTCTGGATTTATATTAAACCTGGAATTCTAGAAATGCAAATCGGGCGTTTTACCTATGAGGGGCGTTAAAAATACACCTATCCTATCCCACATGGTGCACCATGATGCGATTACGGTCAAACAAATCACATCGTTGAGCTTTCACACCTTGAAAATCTAAACTTTTGATGATTTTTAGAACCAGAGATTTTTGGTGGCAAAAGTGTTTGTTCCGCAGTATGATATTGTGCTTTTTTATGTCTCTATTATCGATATTTTAAGCCAAAGACTCTCAATATTGGGCTTTATAAAACCTTAATGGTTCAAACCTTTAATTGGATAATTATATAAGACTCTGATGAGCCTGTAGAACTAGAAGATTAATGTTTCAGGATGATTTGTAGATCTTTCACTATCACGGTTCTTCTGCGCGTTACGCAAACAATTTTACATTTGCCTCGAGGTTCTGGGGGTGGTAGGGTTCTTGAAATAATACTGCTAGCCAAAAATATAGCTAAATACCGTCCATATGTTGAACCCCCGGCTAATTGCAATCGTTTTTTGTTTGTTTTTTTCTCACCCAGCAGGTGTTTACCATCGCGTGGAGTCGCGCCGATCGGCCCCGCTCTAAGGGGCCATGACGCGTTGGCCCGTTCTATTGCTCTCACTGCTCTCGGCGGCGTTTGCCGGCGCCCCGAACACCGATGGAACGTTCCAACCGTCAGCAGCTGGCTCGACGACGTTGTCGCAGTCACTACCCCCGGCTTCCCCAATGCTGGCCGCCTCATCGTCTGCTCAGGGAACCACACATCACCAACAGCAGCAGCAACAGCCGTTATTACAACCACAATTTAACCTCCCACAAATGCAGAATTCCTACGCCTCAGGGGCGACGTTCATTCCCAAGCTAGCGAACTCTAGTCCTAACCATCAAAAGTTCAAAAACAATCGCACCCAGCTTGTGGTGGGTTACCTAACGGCGCTCAAAGGCAATATGAAGGATAAGCAAGGTCTTACCATATCCGGTGCTCTAACCATTGCCCTGGAGGAAATCAACGCTGATCCCGATTTGCTGTCAAATGTGACCCTGGCGCTGCGATGGTACGACACCCGTGGCGATACGGTGACTGCGACACGTGCCATTACCGAGATGATTTGCGATGGGGTAGCTGCCATTTTTGGACCGGAAGGTACCTGTAAGACTGAAGCTATCGTGTCGCAAAGCCGCGACATTCCGATGATCTCCTATGTAAGTGGTGATGCTCGTTTCGATGTATCTAGAAGTGACTATAATTTTCATCCATTTTAGAGATGTTCCGAACTGCACCGGAGTACACCTATACCCACGTTTGCTAGAACGGAACCTCCAGATACGCAGGTAATGTGCAGCCATGTCTGTTTTTTTTTCATCAATGTAACTTAAGGTTCAATTTACTTTGATGCATTTTTTAAAAATTCAAAAGCAGTTTTTTTCGACGCATTATTTTAGATTGCAAAAAGCTCGCGTCATTTTGTGTAAAATATAAAAAGGAATCGAATAGTGCGAGCTTTTTGCAATTTAAAATAATGCGTCGGAAAAAAACTGCTTTTGAAATTTTCCAAAAAGCATCAAAGTAAATTGAACCTTAAAGCAGGGTCAATCAGTGTAATCATAGCACAGTCGGCAAAGGCGCAACTACAAAACAAAAACATGCTTGCGGAGATGGGCTCGACTCGTTGTGCGATAGAGGAAATTATTGAGATGAAATATCTTCAAATCCCTGAGCAAACATGTCTTAGACCAGCTCTCAATTTGCAACAAGACCACTAAGCTTATTTTATTACTACCATTGTTCTACTATTAAGAGAACACTAATTTGTGGGCAGGTGGAATGTTTTGGTTGGAACGTGGATGTGTATCAACTCTTTTAAAAAGTTGGCTACTGGTTGATCAAATATTCACATTGCGTTTTCACTTAAAATGAGATCAAACACCTTTATGTCATGCCCAAACCGGGTAATATAATCTCCTTTGCCATCAAAACAAAAACTAATTGACGATAAGGAGCTTAACAGATTCCATTTAAACATCAGCATTTTTAAACAGAACCGCCAACATGTGAACAGCATGAAAAGAAGTACCGACAGTGGGGGTGCCATTGAGCCAAAATAAACATTGCTTTTGTTCCCTTCCTTATTAAATTCAGCAAGGAAATCAATTTGAAGCAAGTGAATATATTAGCCACTGGTGTATGTATGTTTGTCTGTCATATAGGGTTTTTGATCTAATTTCCGTCCTACTAAGCACAACCCACGCTTTACCTCTCTTTTCTGAACGAGTTTACACAAAAAATGGAATATTTCTGTCAAAGATGACTTCTAAATTTATTTACCTTTCCATACGTACCGTTACATTTGATAAAGAGTCACAAATTGTAGAGATATTGTTTAAAATCTAATACTGTTTCTTGATTGAAACGCCATTAGGTTTTCTTCGTCCTACGGATAAACGTAGAAAAAGGGCATTCTCTAGGAGCGCTTCTTTTGTTTTGAGAACAATGAGCGTAAATATTCATACAATGCGCTCTAAATCATTGATATTATTGATCTTTTCTGATCGATAGAACGGAAATGGGCGATTACGACGAAGTAGTCCTTAGTTCAACCATCTAGGGTTGAATGGAATTGAAATCTCATTTTACTTATTCTTATTATTATATTCATATATTTATAAATAGTCAAAACATAAATTTGGCCTACCCCCGTCTACCCCGTAAAAGTGTACATTGTGTTTTTAGCATTTATGACTCTTAACGTTACAGCACTATTTCAATAAAACTACTCGTTAATGGTATTTACGCTTTACTCCAGGAGTTGAAAAATCATGTCATTACACCAGTCATGTTTTAGTCATAATGTTCTTTACATGCAAGATATTTGCAACAATAAACATTTTTAATGTTTGGCCCAATGTCACCCCGACTGGCGGTAATCTGCTTCTGCTGGTGAAAATTCAATCCGTATTCCAATACTGATCGGGAAGAAGCTCAGGGTTGAGTGACGGCTTCATCAATCTGTTCCAGTACCATGAAGTGTCTGTCTATACATATATTGGCGACCAAAGAGCAGTCAGCACAACATGTGCCAGTTTTTATAGCACCAGAATGATGTTGTGCTTTCGTTGTAGTGGAAGCGATTGCCCGAATAAATAGAACAAAAGTGAACAGTCACAGAAAAAAAAATGATGTTGAATATAACATCCAAACAACTGAACATAGGCCATTCCACTGGTTGTGTTATATTCCGTTGAACAGTGTACACAGAATTTGCGATCAAATTAACATGCATGGATTTAATATTGTATCCGCTTTTTGCTATTACATGAATATTTCATAGGAATAAACTTTAATTAAATCAATCTTGAGGAACAACACGTTCATTTAATTTCAATTGAATTTGAAGTTAATACTTTTTCAAGCAAATACGCTACATTGACATCACAAGAAATTTGTTTCAAACAAGTAGGTGTGTTATTCAATTTGCTCATAAATAAATCTGCAAGAATATTGTTCTTCTTTTTCTTGGCAGACCGTCATTTTTGTAAATCAATAAGGAGGCTGTTAATTTATGATAGAACATTGTCACTAGTTTTCATTTCATAATCTATTACTAGTGATAAATAAATTTGCAAAAACGAATCAAATGCACATGTAGTCGACGTTATGATCACCGAATTAGTTGTTTTTGCTTCGTTTGTAACAAACGAAGTCCAACAACTTTTGAGGGCAGTCGTGAGGGATCGTCCATTAATTATGTCACAGGGGAGGAGGGGGGTTTTGGAAACTGTGACGAGCCTTACAAAAAACAATCAAGGTTAGAAAAATGTGACAAAGGGGGGTTAAAAATGGGCCAAATTTGCGTGACTTAATTAATGGACCTTCCCTGATCATTTTTTTTTCATCACTCCAACATGCTGAACGCACAACGGTATCATGAGAGGGAGGTGTAATATTAGTTTTATCATTTTACCTACACTTGGCAGATGCTTTTATGTATGAAGCGGATAAGAAAACATAATATTTTTGAAGAAAAAAGCTAGCACGTAGTTGACCTTTTCCTTCGGAAATACCTCACTTCGACTCTTTAAAAGAATTGTCCACTCCAGCTGACCAGTACTAGCGCTTCGCACAGTCTAGGAGATTTAAAACATCAACCATAATAGCAGACCACAACGGAAAGCCTGAAAATAATTTCTTGAATTCTGTTACATAAGAAGGATCAAAATACAAACTATCCCAGTTATCTTCACAAATTATAACTTAACTATAAACTTCCTCCAGCACATTATTCTGTCGATATTCTTCCTGATCTTCAAGTTCAGAAAAATCAAAACAATTATTCTCATCAATCCCAGTTTCTTCTGAGCCAGTGAGCTTTAAATTGGACTAGTTGCCAAAGTAATCATTGATCTGATTATATTTTTGGCAACTTCCGTTGTTTTGATGAAGAGTCCAAAAAAATTAAGAAAAAAATGTACGACTTCGAGTGTCCAGTTTTTTTTTTTAATATTTGTTGCGGTGCGAAAAAGCATCAAAATGAACCGCTTCAATCCGAATAAAACATTTTGGTAGCTCGTTTGACTGTCCTGAGATCGAAACATACATCGATATAATCGATACATGTTTTAAATGGCGTTAATTTGACAACAACAGCTGCCAAAATCGATAGTAATTTCCGCCGGAATGTGAAAACCTTGAAGCCAAACTCTAAGACAATATAAAATTTAGAGTGAAGTGGATGAAATGTTCAACAGAAATACTTTTCATCCTATCAACGCAAAATTCAATTTTACTTTGAAAATCAAGCATCCCATCCAGTGTAGATAAAAATCATGTCTTCTACACTCAACGTATGAATGAAGGCAACCTTAACAGATAGACCTACTACCTGTATGAATTTGAATTTTGATATAACCACATTCTCTTGATCAAGGCAACCTTTGAGTATCGAAGTCATTGAACATTGCACTCAGAAAATATTCAAATCTAAATAGTATAAAAGCTAAGCTAAATCGCAACTCTCCCAACCGACTCCTTGCTCGGTATAAAATAAGAGAATACAAGCTTTGTAGCATAAAAATGGTTTATACATTGAAATGTATAAAGTCGCGATATTGATAGGATGTATACAAGCTGTTTATTGATCTAGATGCGTTTTTTGTTTCAAATAACTGATTAAGAAACATAGTAAACAAAGTATTCTCAAATACTGACGATGTATTTTCATAGATGTAAATTACAATAAATATGCACAGAAGCGACACGAGTACCAGATGATCGAGAATGGTTATAAAAAAGTACTCATTGATCTTCGATTCAAAGTCAATAAACTGCGGACCATCGTGGCTGATTATATGTGTGCGACTGGCGAATTTCCACGTGACCGATGCGCTACAAGAGGGAAAATATTTTGTTGAATTTTCAGTAATATTTTAAGCGAGGTAAAATATTGTCACCTATAAAAATTTGTGCCCAGAGGTGAGCCATTTCTCGTAAACGTTTCAGTTACATTCCGGAAATCTTATCTTATCCTAATAATTAAAATACAAAACAGCTCCTTATGCATAATTACAATTACTACTAATCAAAAAATATTAGTTTTCGCGTGTACTGTTGAAATTAGCAAGGGGCTACGGTATGTTGCATTTCTAGATAGAGCTGGGATTAGGGCGTAACAGCCTTTGTAAACAATGACTTATCCCGTTTATTTCTCGGAATTAAAGGCACGCCTACACACATGCTTGGCATACACAGTTTTGGTCACGAACTGCTCATTTGCTAATAACTTTACACAGAGTTGACGAAACATCGTTCTTTTTGAAGCAGTAGATATAATAGAGTTTAAGCTTGTTATAGGTACATAAAACAAAGTAGATTTCAATTCTAGTAATAAACTGTATTTGTTTTTGCGTTGTAAAAATGAAGTAAGAAATGCTCGCTGCACATCTCGGACTTTAAAAGTAAAAATTCATTGGTCTTGATTCAAATGTTAAGATTTAACTACTTTTTGCATATCTATAGTAAGCTATGATCCTAATCTATCAATTACTTTAAAGAAAAATAAATTTCAACAACTGAGTGAAAAGTTATTAACAAATGAGCAGTTGGTGTGTACAACTGTGTATGCCAAGCATGCCTACACAAACCAACATATTCATCGGGTAGGAGAAGTCTTCCTCTCCTCGATGGTAATGTCGATTTGCCAGGGAGAGTCATGGCTTCCGAGAACTCATCGAGAGATGTCATTGTTTACAAAAGCTGTTACGGCCTAATTCCAGCTCTATCTAGATTTGTCAAAACGGAGGAAGATTGTCGTCAAAGAGAAAAATGAACATTATGCCAACCGTCCATTCTGCATAACGTACTTATGTCTAACATTGCCCACAGCACATCCTTACTCATAAATACTCTTGTTTTCTCCAACTATCCTAGGTCACAAAGTCCATCGTATCACTGCTGATGTACTATGGGTGGAAAAAGTTCTCCATCATCCACGAGGATATGTGGAAAAACGTTGCGGATTCACTGGAAACCCAAGCGCAGCGCAACAACCTAACCGTCAATCACGTGCAGGAGGCACACGACTATCACATATGCTGCGAAAACAATCTGGATTGTTGTCGTAGTGGATATTGGTATACGGTATTATGTTATTACATAAATAATTAAATGTAATCAGCTTAATCAACCGACGACTCTCGTCTGCATTCGTGGGTGTGCTTTTAATTGATTCCCAGCTATACTTGGATTGTTCCATTTTGCCACATATTTGCCTATTTTATTTCGTTTGAATCGTGTTTGAGCCCCGGATTTCCTAAAGCTGTTTGCAGTGAATTTTATACAAAAGCTTTGACGTCGTTATTTTTGATTTCCTCTTTCAACAGATCATCCAAAATACGATGAACAAGACGCGAATCTACGTTTTTCTAGGCAATCCAAATGCCCTCGTCGACATGATGACCCAGATGGACGCAATGCAGCTCTTTTCGAAAGGTGAATATCTGGTGATATTCGTTGACATGATGACGTACTCACTGAAGTAAGTATCTCATTTGAATGATTATTTGAAGTGCTTATCCGAATGGAGGCAAATAGCAAAATCGTGGCAAAATAATATCGAATTGTGCTATCGTAGCTTATTAAGTTATTGGTACGTTCTTTAGAGCAATAACTTATTTTGCTATTAGATCATAATCTGCTATTATTATGATATTTTGATAGCTCGACATTGTCTAAAAAATTTAAATATTAGAAAAGCACAGAAAGTAGTTCATCGTGAATTTTCAAATTATTATTATAGATTATTTTCAAGAAAACTTAAATTGTCTCTGTTGTATTTCTTCAAACTGACTAAATTGACGTTTAACAAGATTATTTTTTTAATTTAATTCAGTAAACATAAATATTTAAGTTTGTAATAAACTCAGTAACATAACTTATTGAAAACATATACAGAAACATCGGAGTAAACAGCTTGGCGAGCTCGATAACAAAAATATAATCCTGCACACTTAGAAATAGCTAATTTTACAAGTGATGGAATCCATCTTTGACATAAAAGATGAGACGTAAATAAACATGTCATGTAATAAGAAGTGCTCGGGGACTGAAAAGTTTGATGCTCGACGAAAAGTACGTTTAATTGAGCTATATTTCGCTTCTGTTATTACTGAAATTTATGTCAAAATTGATGCTCGCACATGTCACTCTCAGAGCACCTGAATTTACATGATTTTTTCTAAGTGTGTCGTTATGAATTTTTATCTTTTCTATAGAACCGATGTTAACAAAGCCTGCATTTCTCAATATCTATACACTCATCTGAATAACTGCCTCATCTTTTATGTCAAACACGATTTCCGTCACGTATAAAATTATTTATTTCTAAGTGTGTAATTAAAATGTTTTGTCTATTGTTGCTCAAGTTGTTCTGGTTTTCGTTTAACGAAAATTCTTGTATGTGGAAAAAAGCCTTATCGATGCCATGTCGCGCAGTTTTTGTGTCTACAATTTTAGATTTATCACGTAAATAAACTCGAAAAAAAATATCCAAGAATAGCGTTAACTGACAGAACCCCAAATCATCAAAACTTGCTCAAAGTAATAATACGACGATCAATTGAAAGTGTGGTTGGCCAGCCGGAAAGGAAAACAACCCGGGAAAGTCTCGAGCAATGTTGAATGACTGGTTCTCAGTAATTTGGTTACCAAATTTCAAGATTGAGCCACTATTTGAAAGTACGACTATCTACTTTCGAACGGAGCAAACAAGGAATTGATTGGACCTGTTGACCGTTAGAGTACGGCAATTTTGAGGAAGGTACAAATCGGGTTGATTATCTCTTTTACCGTACCTTCCCCAAAATTGACGTTTGCTCAAGATCAACGAACAAACCAAGGAAAAAAAATATAGTCCGACTGATTACCGGCAGTAATCAAAATTGTCTTTTTTTTCTTTGGTTTGTTTTCCGTCGATCTTGTTTTCCGTGCTGAGCACCAATGCTACCGACGACAGGAAGGCAGCTCCCACACCTGGACCCTACCTATCGACCCATCAATTCATGAACCGGTGACCAACGGCTTTACTTCCCCCTTCTGAAGGAAGGCGTGATCAGAGATGTTATGCCTCAGAACATCCCGGCGGCGTCGACTAGGATTGAACCCAGGCCTGCTGGGGTGAGAGGCAATCACGCTTACCACTACACCACCTGCGCCGCTTCTATCAAAATTGTCATAAAATGGCCTATTTTCACCATGGGCTGGATTTTTTATTTCTTAATATTTTGGGCTCAAATTCCCACCACACTTTGGAAATTATTTCTACTTGATGTGTTTCTAAGGGCAAGTGATTTGGACAAATAGTTTTTGAGATATGACCAGATGAGTGAGTGATAGTTTTGAGCTCTTCTGGTGGCAATTCAATGCTATTTAATACTTTTTTTTACTGAATTCCTTCACGCCGATGAAACAATAATATTTTTATGTTATTTTGACATGTTCTGGGCAGGATTCTCATTAAATGAAATCATAACTACCTCATTTATTTACTTCTGTCCATAATTTAATTATGGTCCTAAAAGTGAAAACTACGTTTCTTTGGGATACAGCCAAAACGTTGTGCTTTAGAAGTACGATGAAATCAGATAGATGAGCAGGTATATACAATTTCAGTAGTGGATGACAGCTGCTACATAGCCGGCGCCGGTGGTGTAGTGGTAACCGTGACTGCTTTCTAACACCCCGATGGGTCTGGGTTCAATCCCAGCTGAGGTCGGTGGGATTTTTCTGAGGCATAAAAATCTCTGGTCATGTCTTCCTTCGGAAGGGAAGTAACCCGAGCAAAGTCTGAGATCAAATTGAAATCTAAATTTGATGTTGTGATTTTGCTGATAATGATTGTTCAGGTTGCTGTCGTTTTGGTCGTTTTAACGGTTAAAATATCAAAATTGAGAGCAAAAATATCTTCCTGTGACATCACATTGAAAACTATTTCTGCTATCAGTGAGAGCAAACTGAAAACTCAATTTGATATAAATTTTTCCTGTTGATAACAAAACAAGTATTCAATTTGATGTTATGCTAAGGCAATGAAAACAAACCCGCAATATTATATATTGCGGGTATATATATTTATTTATTTTTATATTTTTGAAGAGTAAATGTACAGCAAAATAAAAACAAAATGTGTCAATTGCATAATCTGAAATCAAATTAGGATTTCAGTTTGATGTTGATATAAAAACTTGATTTCAATTTGCTGTCATTTTGATGCTGGACTTTGCTCGGGAAAGCCGTTGGTCCCGGCCCATGTGTGTTTGAATGGGTGCGATATCCTACGCAGGTGTGGAAGCTGCCTGCACATTCGATTGCCGTCAATGAATGGCAATCGATGTCCGTCGGTGATTGGCACTAAATTGCGGAACAGAGACCGACGTTAAATAAAGGAAAAGACAGCTGCTACTTTTATAATACCCTTATTTGAGTAATTAATTATTTTTTTTAGATACAATCTCACGAGCGAGAATGCCTTTTTTATAGTTATAAAGAAAAAACGTTGAACCTTTATTTTTCATTTTTGATAACACAACTTTCATTCATGAACGTTACTATCATAATCTTCTTCTACGCATTTGAAGCTACGCACAGGAAACAGTTGCAGACTTATATTTATGTCTAAGTATTAGTATAGTAGGGTAGGGGTTTTGATCTAATTTCCGTCCTACTAAGCACAACGTGCACTTTACCTCTCTTTTCTGAACGAGTTTTAACTAAAAATGGAATATTTCTGTCAAAGATGACTTTTAAATTTATTCACCTTTCCATACGTACCGTTAGATTTGATAAAGAGTCACAAATTGTTGAGATATTGTTTAAAATCTAATACTGCTTCTTGATTCTAAATTCGTTCTACGAGTTTCAATTCCGTCCAAACGCATTGAAACGCCATTAGATTTTCTTCGTCCTACGGATAAACGTAGAAGCGCTTCTTTTGTTTTGAGAACAATGAGCGTAAATATTCATACAATGCGCTGTAAAAGGATTTATGTTGTAGCTAATGAACTAACGCATCGGAGCAAATCTATTTTTGATTTGTGCACGGTGAAGTCATTGATATTATTGGTCTTTTCTGATCGATAGAACGGAAATGGGCGATTACGACGAAGTAGCGCTCTACCCTAGTAAGTTATGATTGTTCTCAGAAGACAAAATTTGCCTGGTGACATAACTAGACCAACAATTGAAATAGGCGGAACAACCAAACGTAAACAATGGCTTTCAACGCAAATTTCTCGAAAATCAAGGTTCATCCATGCAATCTAACACCAGCATCTGAATCAGCAAACTTTCTTTATCGAATGACATTGTTAGTTTGCGTGGGTGTTTTATGATTTTCGAGATTTTCGAGCCATTGTTTACGTTTGGTTGTTCCGCATATTTCAATTGTTGGTCTAGATAAGAAGAGGTATATTTTCAACGTTGGGAGCACTACAAAAATTATTCCTCTCACTTGACTGGTAGCAAACACATATTTATGTAAAACCGTAACGCAATTATGTAAAATAAATATCATCCTCCGAATAGCGTGGGGGGTGGTAGAATTTTTCCATCAGTTTTCCTCTAACCAATCGAACCGATTCATTGAAGATGACTAATTTAGAGCACTATAGCACTAGTAAAGAAAATAGATTTTGACAAAAGACAGAAATAGCGGTGGGTGCATAAAGGTGGCAGTCAAAACATGGTACTTAATGGTTTACAAACTGATTTTGAACTATGGTTTTGCTGATGATACATGACAGTAACGTTAACAGTGAACTCATGCATTGATGTTTGCATCGAAAGCTCTCAATTAATAACTGTGGAAGTGCGAACACTAAGTTGAGAGCACGCAATAAGCAAATATTCGATAAGCAATAAGCTTCAAATGCGTAGAAGAAGAACAGAAAAAGGCACCGGTGGTGTAGTGGTAAGCGTGATTGCCTCTCATCCCAGCAGGCCTAGGTTCAATCCCAGTCGGCGCCGCCGGGATGTTCTGAGGCATAACATCTCTGATCACGCCTTCCTTCGGAAAGGAAGTAAAGCCGTTGGTCCCTGGTTCATGAATTGATGGGTCGATAGGTAGGGTCCAGGTGTGGGAGCTGCCTCCCTGGCGTCGGTAGCATTGGTGCTCAGCACGGAAAACAAGATCGATGGAAAACAAATCAACGAAAAAAAAAGAACATGACAGTTACCTTTAAATTGACGTTCTAAGATCACGAAAAGCTTATTTGGTTGTGGAGTAATCTCTTTCGAAAGATGAAATTTCTAAACATCTCGAAAAATCCAGAGTTGTAGCCGAGAGGGGTCTAGATTCAGAATGCAAAATAAGCGTTTTGGCCAAGTTTGGCTCAAATCGGTGACATCGACCACAGGTGGTGTATCCACTTGAGCTGGAATGACCCATATACAATTTTCACACTGCCGTACTCTAACGGAACTATCAACTCTATACTTTCATCTCCTCATCTATCGTATAAAATGAGCCCTTTAAGTCTGATATTTGACGTTTAACATGTCCAACTATGTAATTTGTACATGTTAAAGAAATTATCCAACGCTTTCAACCAAATTGGAGCGAAAACATGAGAAACATGTTTTTGAGACTGGTGATAGCGGAAACTACGACTTCGTCAGGTAACACAAAAGCAGCTTTCAAGGGCTTCATTTACCACCATAAACCTTGACAAACGAAGAAACTGTTGGACCGTTTTTCACTTACATGCAACAAGTTAACATAGGTGACTGTTCAACACTTGATATGATCATGCAGTCGACTAGAGTTCGTGATTCGGTAAAACCATGATGTTGATGCTTTATTTAATCTATTTTTTCTATAGTAGCTCATTTTGCTATTGGTTTGATCTTCAGCAGCTTAATATTCATTGTTTAATTATAAAGCTTGCTATTGGTTTTATATTCTCTTCTACTCGGGTATGGTTGCTGAGCTTTTCTTAATTGCTCTTCAGTTTTTATTAACAATCGATTACCAGAGACGTATTCAGGATTATAGGTTTGGTGGAAAACTCTCTATTTTGTCCCTAGGATAAATTTTGATGTATAATATATGCCTTGTATAAACAAATTTCTTACATAGAGCTTAGTCCCTAGTCTTAATCATTTCAAGCTAGGGAACAACGAATAGAAGATTAGAAATCACATATAATGAAGACTAACTATCTCATTTTTTCCTTGTTTCAAGATCAACAAAGCCGAGTCTTGTCACTATCAACAAGGCATAAAAAGTAACAAGGACTAAGATGTGTTCCTTCAATTACTGAAAAATCCTGTTCCCCTAGTTTGAAGTAGTCAGTACTAGGAATCGGTGGTAGATCTTACATCTTGTAACGTACCACGAAAAGATGATCTACTCACGTTACGGTGCACCATCGAGAGTTAAGAGCGGTACCAGATTTGATCCATTGTGGTATGACAGTTAGACAATTGATTAAGTTATCACTTTGTTCGCATAGTACGAAATCAAACTGCATTTTTGGGTGTATATGGGTAGTAAGCGTGGGTGAGCTAGCAGTTTCATCAAATATAAGTTTGAAGCTATTGATTTCCAAACTATTTACGATCATTTGACTATCCGCCGTTCAAATTATTACTCAAATGCGTCAAATATGCCAGGGAACGTGTTTCTAGCCTAGTTGTTAACAAAATAAAAAGTCGATTAGGAGAATCGCAAATTGGTTTAAAGGGTGATACGGTCAAAATTTGGTCAAGGGAAAACGCGTGTAAATCGGTGAAACCGTTTATTTAAAAAATCAAATTAAATTTCTTTTTCAAGTTCAATTAGTATAAAATTCAGGAAAAATATTCAGTTAGGCTTCCGCTTTTCCAAATTCGAATTGCTGGGCCTTACGCTTGACCCCTGCCATCAGATTTTGTACAGCCACCTTGTCCACCTTCTTCGCCGCAGAAAGCCAGTTTGCCTTGAACTGCTGCTCGCCCTTAGCAGTTTTTTTGGTCTTCTTTAGGTTCCGCTTGACAATAGCCCAGTATTTCTCAATTGGGCGGAGCTCTGGCGTGTTGGGAGGGTTCTTGTCCTTGGGAACCACCTGCACGTTGTTGGCGGCGTACCACTCCATGGCCTTTTTACCGTAATGGCAAGATGCCAAATCCGGCCAAAACAGTACGGAACAACCGTGTTTCTTCAGGAAAGGCAGCAGACGTTTATTCAAACACTCTTTCACGTAAATTTCTTGGTTGACAGTCCCGGAAGCTATGAAAATGCTGCTTTTCAAGCCACAGGTACAGATGGCTTCCCAAACCAGATATTTCTTTGCGAACTTTGACAGTTTCATGTGCTTGAAAACATCTGCTACCTTTCCCCTTCCTTTTGCCGTATAAAACTCCTGTCCCGGAAGCTGCTTGTAGTCGGCTTTGACGTAGGTTTCATCGTCCATTACCACGCAGTCAAACTTCGTCAGCATCGTCGTGTACAGCCTCCGGGATCGCGCTTTGGCCGTCGTATTTTGTTTATCATCGCGATTTGAAGTCACTACCTTCTTGTAAGTCGATAGTCCGGCTCGTTTTTTGGCTCGATGCACGGTTGTAGACGATACACCCAGCTTATTTGCGGCATCTCGGAGAGAGAGGTTAGGGTTTCGCTTGAAACTACCGGCAACTCTCTTTGTCGTCTCAGCGGCTTCCGGTTTTCGATTTCCCCCCGATCCAGACTTCCTGGCTGTCGACAAACGTTCCCCAAACACTTTAATTACATTTGTAACGGTTGATTTGGCAACTTTTAGCGATTTTGCCAACTTTGCGTGCGAGTAGCTCGAATTTTCGCGATGCGCGAGCAAAATTTTGATACGCTGCTCTTCTTGCTTGGACGGCATTTTGACAACTGAAGAGTGAATTCCAAAATCAAAATAGGAGCAACATTCTACACACACACACCTTCAAAATGAGGGGTGTTCAGGTTTTTTAAATGCAAGATTGAAAGAAATACGTCAAGTTGATATTGACCAAATTTTGACCGTATCACCCTTTATTTGAATATTACTAAAGATTTTTTTAACTTTTCCTGGTTCATTGACTAACGCAGGCAGTTTATATCAATTTTGACTTAACAATCCATCGCTTACAAGTGACGACCGTTACGGGGAATGTGACGGTTTTTATGTTAAGAGTATATATCACCCAATGAATATTCATTTCTGTGACTATTATCGAGCAAACGATATTCGAACAGAAATATCGCCATATATTTTCAAGCTTGCAGATGCATGCAACCTGTTAAGTAAAAATAAATTATCTCTGCAACATAACACCCACTGAGTACGGTGTTTTCGATTACGCAAAAGCATGTCACCTACCCGGCAAAGTTTCTAATTGACTGAAACATCAAAGCGCCATTTTTCCCCGTTCATGAGCGGTGGCATAGAACTCTGCAACCCACATCTAGCTAATCGTCTGTAATATTTCTGAAGAGAGCTAATAGGTATTTTATGGTAGGTATTCTGCTCAGTTAATGAAAATCACAAACATAAACATCGTCTCGTCAACACTCCATTAGCGTCCATGGGCCCTTGATGCCTATTAGAAAACGAGAAAGCAACTGGATTGACATGTTCATTACGTTCCATAATCACTTTGCAGGGAATCGAAAAAGTACCTCTGGCGGTTGGATCGAGTGTCTCATCACAAAAACTGCAATGACATGGACCAGTTTCTGCAGCGCGGCCGCAGTTTGCTGGTGGTGGTTGCTTCCGAGCCTCATCCAGAGTTTGAACAGTTCACTAATAAAGTTCGCGAATACAACCAGAAGGAACCGTTTACGTTCAAAATGCCGATGCTGTTCCAGTCGTACGCCAAGGTGAGTACCGTTGCTGTCGCTTATCCCATAACAGTCCCACGTCCTATGAAATTCTCATTTATATGGGACTGTTATATGAATGGCGGAAGGATATCCGTTTACCGTTGGGTGGAACTAGGGTTTTTGATCTTATTTCTGCCCTACTAAGCACAACCCGCACTTAACCTATCTATTTCGAACGGATATGAACCCAACAATGCACAGTGGGCAAAAATTGACAAAACCGCGACTAAATTGAATATTTCGGCTGCCAAACGGTTTCAGTCAACATGTTGTACATATTCTCAAAGGAAAAACTCTGCTGAATCAATTGGTGGTGGCTTTTGCGGACCAAGATAGAGGGTCGGGATCAACCCGAGCTCCCGGTGAAGTAGGAAATGCCACTATCTATCGACATAAATTTACACTTTATTTAATATTTGTTAAATTCACTTTGATCTCATGATTCTGAACAATATAGAATAAACCGCAAGGTTTAGGACAAATTTTATAATGTGGCCACTTTATCGGTCAATTCAGATTATCGGGAGATCCAGAATATGGCCACTATGCCCCAAAATATAGTTTCCATGTAAAATACGCTTTGATCTCTGGATTCTGAACAACATAGAAAAAATCACAAGGTTCTAGGACATTTTTTATAATGTGGCCACTTTATCGGTCGTTCTGGATCCTCCTTCAGGTCAGTCGAGTTTCCCTGAGCGTGTATATGGTGTCTGTGAACTATCAATTTCCAGTAATATACGTTAAATAATCTGTAAATCTGATTTCACACAAATATTGGTAAAATTGATCTAAACATATTTCTCTGTAAATGTAGTACAAAAGTAGTTCAGTTAAGCGAACTCAAATTGGAGGAATCGATTACCTACATTTGGGTTATTTAATCTTAGCGTGTAGTGAGCTGTGGCGTATACATGTTGTTTTTGGCTTGGTGTTGTTGTACGCAGCGTTGCCAGGTAATTTAAAAAAATATCTGGTCCAGTTAAATTGTGAAATCTGGAAAATTATATGATTATATTTTGACGTTGGAATTCAAATATTGCTATTGATATAAAATAGTAGGAGAAAGTGGGGCAGTTTGGCCACCTTAAGAAAATCATCAGTGAAAAATTCGAATGATGTTCAACCAAATTGATGGTTTCAAGCCCTATTTACATGAATACAAATTGAATATTAAAAGTAACCTTTTGAATCTTATGCAAGAATATTTAAAAAAAATGTTGTAGCCGAAATCAAACCGTCGGGGTAAAATAGATGCTTCTTCCAGATCGTGTTGAAAATATCCGGAACAATCTTAACACGGCCGTGGTGATTCAAACAGAAAGTCTACAAAGCGAATCGATCAACGTAGATATGACCTATTGAAAAGTGACACGCGAATTACTTTCATGTACATCTGGACATCTTTAAAGTAGCCTGAACTTTTCTTACACAGCAAAAAAATAATTTTGATATCACGTCAAAGTGGATGCACTACAATCATGTCGAAAATATGGTGTAATATTACTTGCTAAAAAGGACAAAATTATTATTAATACAATGCATGAACTGACATTACGCTGCTTTTACTGCATTTGTTTATTTATGTGGTCATAAAAATTACATGAAATTTTCGACATGATTGTAGTGCATCCACTTTGATGTGATATCAAAATTATTTTTTTGCTGTGTAGGTTATTCATTATTCTCGACTCTGAAATTCTAAAATCGATGAATTAAGGTTTTCAAAGCATTTTCAAGATTTCCTAAACTTATTTGAAGAACCATTAACAACTCTGTGGTTCATTTGAATTACTCTAAAATTATCCAAGCATCTACGATGTACCCCTGAAGAGCCTTTCCGAGGTTACTATTATTGATACAGTTGAAAACCGGAACAACCCACTAGTGACAATCGATTTTACTCTCGTTCTGTACGGTGAACATAGTGCACTACTTCCGACAAAGTATGCTTCTCTGAAGTGCTTTCTAAAATTAGCACGTCTTCTCTGAAGTTCTGAAAACTTCTCAGAAGTCTTCTGAGAGGATCTTATGAATGATGCTGTGAAGCTTGGAGAACTTTTAAATGATTCGACGTATAAAATATCAGTTCACTGAACTCCGAAGAACTTCAAAGTGCTTAAGATAGCGTCTTAGGTCACAGCATTTTAAAAGGACGGAGAAGGTAATGTCATTTTTGTTTTTGCGGTGTGCACTCGGAAAATGTTATCGCAAACAATCGCAAATCATTTGCACCTCAACATCATTTGTTTGTAAACAAAGGTGCATATCCACACTCTGAATAAAGGAATGATTTGAGATTTGGGCGTACTTGCATTTGTAAACAAACACGTCAATCCCCGATTTCTCGCGAATGAAACCTCAATTTCGATAACTAATGACACTATAAGGTGAATGAATTATGTCTCTTTCATTTGGCATAGCTGATTTACGAGATTGAGGTTTTATTCACGAGTAATCGGCGATTGACGTGTTTGGTTACAAAAGCAATTACGCCCAAATCTCAAATCACTCCTGAATTATTTCGGTGTAGGGAGGCATTCAATAATTACGCAAGAACCTAGGGAAGGAGGTGTTAGAAATGTTCTTACGTTTACCTACATGGGAGAGAGGGGTCTCAGTAATATCTTACGTAAGCATGAACAAGCCATAGGCACATTCTAGCGTGAGGAGGAATGGAATGGAAATAGAATGGAAATGAAATGGAAATGAAATGGAAATGAAATGGAAATGAAATGGAAATGAAATGGAAATGAAATGGAAATGGAATGGAAATGGAATGGAAATGGAATGGAAATGGAATGGAAATGGAATGGAAATGGAATGGAAATGGAATGGAAATGGAATGGAAATGGAATGGAAATGGAATGGAAATGGAATGGAAATGGAATGGAAATGGAATGGAAATGGAATGGAAATGGAATGGAAATGAAATGGAAATGGAATGGAAATGGAATGGAAATGGAATGGAAATGGAATGGAAATGGAAAGGAAATGGAATGGAAATGGAATGGAAATGGAATGGAAATGGAATGGAAATGGAATGGAAATGGAATGGAAATGGAATGGAAATGGAATGGAAATGGAATGGAAATGGAATGGAAATGGAATGGAAATGGAATGGAAATGGAATGGAAATGGAATGGAAATGGAATGGAAATGGAATGGAAATGGAATGGAAATGGAATGGAAATGGAATGGAAATGGAATGGAATGGAAATGGAATGGAAATGGAATGGAAATGGAATGGAAATGGAATGGAAATGGAATGGAAATGGAATGGAAATGGAATGGAAATGGAATGGAAATGAAATGGAAATGAAATGGAGATGCAATGGAAATGGAATGGAAATGGAATGGAAATGGAATGGAAATGGAATGGAAATGGAATGGAAATGGAATGGAAATGGAATGGAAATGGAATGGAAATGGAATGGAAATGGAATGGAAATGGAATGGAAATGGAATGGAAATGGAATGGAAAATTAAATAATGCATTTCCGAAAACATGACGCTGCAAAATCACTAGGCCATTCTGGTGAGATCTTTTCATTTAATCTATTTATATTTAATTTGTATTACTGATTTATCACATGCTCTATTATGAGGAAAAGAGTTTCCTAATCAATCACCCTCCCACTAACACAACTCTTTCCGTTCTGTGACATTTATAAAGGTTGCATGAGTTCCTTGCACCTTCTTTAGTAGATGTTGGATTAACTTACCCTCCCTTCCCCGGCTATTGTAATGATTTGGCCATGTGTATATTGCGATGCTTGTTTTGTAGATTTTATTTTTGTGTGGGGAAAATCACTAATCCCAAGTGTATTATTTTCTGGGTCAACACACGATATTTTCTACAAAATGTATTAGTTGAACATTATATGGTCACCCACGATTAGTACAATCGCATATGGTATGCTATGCTTTAGCAGCTGATGAAATTAATTGATCTGATTGACTGATTTATTACAAAAACTGTAATACAGTCGTGCTTCTTACTTTCATCAAATTTTAATATCTTCTTCTAGCAACCATGTCCAAACACTGAAAATGACGAAAGGCCATTAAAAATACGGTACTAGACAATTGTCTGTACCTAACCTTGAATATGTTCTCGGTGTTTTTTCAATACCTTCTATAATTTGTCACGTTGTTTCGAATGTTTCTTTCAAAACTCCGACCCACTCTCCCCAAGCGTTTCAATTTACCAAGATAAAAAGTGATTCTTTTTAATTTGCTTTTTTCCTTCCATGCTTTCTACTCTACAGTACGTTTCAATCTATGCTGCCTACTTGTACGATTCGGTAAAATTGTATGCCTGGGCTTTGGATAAGCTTCTGAAGGCGGAACAGGTGCATCGGCCGTTAACGAGCGACGTTATACAAGAAGTTGCCAGCAACGGGACACGGATCATCGAAACAATCATTCAGAACCGAACCTACCGAAGTAAGTAACAGTGACGGACGAGGAGCACAACGCTTCCTATTGGGTTTCGACATCCTAACGACCTGAAGGCATGTTTTTCAAAACTTGTTTTTAATAGGTATCGCGGGTGCGATGATCAGAATCGACGAGTTTGGCGACTCCGAGGGGAACTTTTCGGTGCTGGCTTTGAAGTACGAACCGTACACGGAAGGGAACTTTTCCTGCGACTTCCAAATGAAACCGGTGGCCCACTTCCAGATGCGGCAGTTTCAGCAAAGCAACGATTCTGCCCAGAAGCGAAGCGATGAAATCCCAGTGAGTGAGTCGTCGTTATTTTAATTTATTTTGGTGATTTTTTTTTTCGTCCTATCCTCACTCCTTATTAATCCCTATGGAAAGTTTCATGCTTGCAATTGATAAGTGAAGCCAACCTCTCCGTCCCTGTCATCGGTTAAGTGGATTTCCCTTATTGACCGCAATTGTCTTCTATTATTTTATCTTTTCCCGTTGGCTTCGTATTCGTAGGAATTCAAGTTGTCCAGAGCGGGAACAGCAATAGACTGGGCTGGGTCGGAGCGTCCGATGGATGAGCCTTCCTGCGGATTCATGAACGAGCACTGTACGAAGGATGAATCTCACGTCACGTCCATGGTGATAGCAGGTGTGCTTGGGCTGGTTCTGTTCTGTGCGTGTGTCATCATGATGAGCATCTATCGTAAATGGAAAATCGAACTCGAGATCGAAGGTTTGCTTTGGAAAATAGATTCCAGTGAAATCAAAGGATACTTCAACACGGAGATAGTTTCATCTCCGAGTAAGGTGAGTTTGGGGAAATCATGAAATGTTTGGGAAATCATCCAAGCTTCTTTCCGATCATTATTAATTCACGAAATTGAATGCCTCTGACTCACATGAGGTAATTAAGATGTGTTGTTCGGTTGACTGCATCATTCCCAACAGTTTTGCCATTCATAATCGAGTTTCGAACGAATCAAATCAACGCTATTATTCATGCAGCTCTCTTCCATCCGAATAAAGCTCTTACCATGCATTTATTCATTTATTCAGTTGCTAACATGGTTCCTCTCTGTATTCCTTCCCATCGGGTGCAGCTCAGCCTGGCCAGCGCTCAGTCATTTGGGTCACGCTGCTCGAACCAGGTATTCACGCCAACGGCCCGCTTCCGGGGTGTGGTGGTGCGCATAAAGGAGCTAAAATTTTCCCGCCGCAAGGACATTTCCCGAGAGATCATGAAGGAGATGCGGCTGCTACGGGACTTGCGGCACGATAACATCAATAGCTTCATCGGGGCCTGTGTCGAACCGATGCGGATATTACTAGTCACTGATTACTGTGCCAAGGGTAGCCTGTACGATATCATCGAAAACGAAGATATCAAACTAGATGATTTATTTATAGCGTCGTTAGTACACGATTTAATTAAGGTAAGTACATCCCAAAAGGGGTTTCTGCATTTTTCATTGCGGTTTTCGCTTGATTGTATACCTACTAGAGTGGATCAAATTTTCAATTTTCCCAAATCAGGTTCCGATCGTCCTCGGAAACTTCGTACGTATCACAATGTAAGAACTGCTTGGTTATCCTCGTCCTAGCTTTTCTATCTGCCGGTAGACTCTCTATCTGCCCTTAATTATTGAAATTGTATATCAAGATTAGGAATTGATTGCTATACTGCGTTTGGAGCAAAATGAAAAATGTGAACCGCCCTAATACCTACTCTTTCGTCTAATTCAATGGGTTCTTTGTACCGGAAATGCAGCATCGTCGTTTTTCAAAATTCATCTGCTTCACTTCAGTTCTGTTGATTTTAAAAGAGCATATTAATCGGTTATGTAAATTTCCATGCACGTTCTATACAGGGTCTACTGGTACGATTGTTCGTGGTTCTACACGGCCAATGAGATCAGCACAAATTTGATTTAAGTTTACTTATACAAACAGTGCAGGAACTCAGTGATGAGTAAATCTGCGTCATGTTTTTCCAGGAAAAAAAAAATTAAGAAAAGCAAAGATTAGATTCTCTCAGTCTATTGGTAAATATTACTCCTAGACTGAGTAAAATTTTTGTCAATTATTTTCGGCACATTAACTCATCGCTGAGTTTCTGCACTTATTGCGATTTTGAGTAAACTGAACTCCAATTTGGGTTGATCTCTTTGCCCGTGTTTGGTGCTGACTGAAGGGAGTTTGATTATTTTTTCCACTTGGCTGCATTTTAAGCAAGCGTAGCAGCTTACGGTGTTTTGTCCGAGATTATGTCAGCATAGTATACTGAATCATCGGAACAATTCAGTGGTGGAATTATATGTGACAATCGCAAAAATTCTCCAACATGAATTATTTCCGAAACTAATTTCCATGCTAGACTGACATGCAAGGATAGCTGAATACCAGAGTTGCGTCCAATCAATATATATTGGGCTCTGATGAATCCGGAGCAGACTAAATTTCCATTAGTACCGTCCGTTCATCTAGATAAAATTAATAAATAGCAGATTTTTAGCGATGGGCCCAATCTTAGATCCATAGGCCAACATTAGAGCCATTTCCCCTATAACACATTATTTTCATATTAACGAATCATTTAACAAAACTGCTAAGCGGTGCTGGTGGCGTAGTGGTAAGCTTGATTCTCACCCCAGCAGGCCTGGGTTACATCCCAGTTGGCGCTATCGGAATGTTCTGAAGCATAACATCTCTGATCTTGGTCCCCGGTTCATGAGTTGAAGTGGTCGATATGTAGGGTCCAAGTGTGGGAGCTGCCTCTCTGGCGTCGGTAGCATTGGTGCTCAGCACGGTAAACAAATCAAAGGAAAAAAAAAAACAAAACTGCTTGGATCTCCAACATATCGGCGAAATCTTCTATTTCTTTCGTACCACTACGTCAGCATTGTAGCGAATATTCTACCTGTGCTTTAATATAATTTGAACATGGTGAACGAAAAAGATTACTCACCCAACCGGGGGATGTAATATTCGCTTACAATTATGTGGGATTCATCATCAGAGGATGTTAGTGGAGACCGCATGAACCGAGGATGCGATATACCTAGCTGCGGTCCAATGCAAGAAAATTGGAGACCGAAAAATGTAGAGTGTATTAGTGAGGTAAATTAGTTATGTCGGAAAAATTAGGAATCAGACTGCCGGACTGGACTCGAACCACGAACGTTGCGCGATTATCAGACCTGTGCTTTTTCCACTACTCCTCTCCATGCTTCTGAATATGGATAGCCTAAAAGTTAAAATGAAGCGTACACGGTAACCGCAAAATACATACACGGTAACCGCAAAATACCCAATAATGACTACAAAGTAATCATTTTCGAGAGAGATTGGGACTACCCATTAAATGAGTAAAATTTTACCCATTTATGAGTAATTACAACTACAATAATAAGTAGTAAGTATTCATTTTTGAGTAACAAATACTCATAAATGGGTAATATGTTTACTCATTTAATGGGTAGTCCAATTCTCCCTCGAAAATGCTTACTTTGTAGTCATTATTGGGTATTTTTCGATTACCGTGTACTCGACTTCAAATGCTTTTTCTGCTGGAGAGAATCGAGGCAAGTGTGTGCGTCATTCTACAATATTCTACAATGTGCGTCGTTCTACAAGCTTACTGGTATAGTCGAAAGCGTATAGAACACGAAATAAAAAAGACAAAAAACCATTACACGCTATCTTCTGCTTACTCACCAGGTGAGTCGATCGTACTCACTTACGTCTGATGTATAAAGTTGTCAAAAATTGAGTAAACGAGAAATGTCGAACTGAGTAAAAGCCACTCAGTCAGCAAAATTCTGGACTTGGAAAAAATGCCAGTCATGTCCGAGGAAACTTCATAGGAAATGTTACTTCAAACCGACTGAAATGCCTTCAGGTAAGTACGAATTGCTTAGGGAAACGGTGTTGAACCATTTTCTGCTCCGGTAAAATGAATCCGGAGCAGGCAATTTCCATTTTCTTGAATAAAATTCAAAACAAAAACCCTCCCCGGAACTGAAAATACCGCCAAGTGGATTTGACTCAGTCTACGTGAGAACGTCGTTTACTCAAAAGTGAGTCAACATAAGGCTACTCAATTTTGAGTAGCCCTACTTGCCGCTGAGATGAGTACATTCGACTCAATTTTAAGTTGACCAGAATAAGCGTGTACATCGCCTGCATGGTCAATTTCTAACATTCGTTGCCATGTTAATGAACAGAGGATGATAGGAAACGGAACTAACATGCATTGTAATAGATTTTTGGTTTGCGTGTACGAAGCAGTGGTACCAGTTATCAATTCTAGCCGTCTTTGTCCAAATTTGCTAGAAGTGTTTGATATCTTTAATTCGTTGTATCTTTCCAGAAAGCTTCCGCTTCATCAGATCCCAATATATCTTGATTGGACGTAACTCTTGACAATTTGGCGGATTTGCAGTTTTTGGTACAATATTCACTTGATTTGTTTCGTACCACTCCAATCGGGCCACAACAAAGGATTTTCTTTGTGGCTTTTGGTGTTTCTGTAGTGACGTGTAAATTGCTTGCCAAATTATGTTTTTTTTTTGGGAAATTCCGATGCCTTCTTCGTCTTGAAATACTCAGCTGTAGCATTTTTGGCCTTAGCAAAATAGAAAGCCAGCCCTGGAAGCTGCTTGAAATCCTATAGGACATAAGTTTCATCGTCCATAACAACGGATGAAAACTTCTTCAAATATTCGCAGTAAAAACAACAATCAATGCGAAACTAACGATTTTCAATTGGCTCACTACTTGCCTAGCCTATTGGTCCCAAGCAAATCGACTAACGTAGCCCATTCTAGTATAAATTCCAGTACTACACTATGTTAGTTTTGATTCGCTATGAAAGTTTGACAGATAAAATGAGGGGTTAGTGGATTTTCCTATGTTTCGAGGGGTGAATCGATTAGCTTGGGACCGACGATAGTACCAGAGCTGAGCCAAAAAGTTGAGCTCGTTTCTTCAGGACCTTCTGGTCTTAGAGTTACCTCTATGGTACAAACGTCGAGCTCGTGATTTTTCTGTCGAATTCTGTTTTTATACGAACAAAACCAGGTGACATTACTATTTTAAGAGCCACCGTTTGCACAGAGAGATTCGAGTTTTCCTTCATTATCCTCTTCACCTTTCGGTCCGTGACAGGATCAGTTCGTCCAATCAGAGACGTTGATAGAGAAGCGCAAAAAAAAATCTGTCAAAACAGCAGCACGGGTTTTGAGGGATCATTTGTCACTGTTTCCATGTTTCCATGTCACCATGTTTCTTTGAGTGGCTTCAACTCGGCTTCAAATGACTTTCATACAGTGCCGCAATGCTGAACAAGATATATATATGTTTTTCTATTGATGCGTATCATTTTTGCATAAGCGCTTTTAAAGTGTTAGTCGTGTACAAAACTAGGGAACCAAATATGTAAAATGGCATGTTGGACAATATCAAACATTTGTGCAAAGTTTCAACATAATCGTAGAAGGTCGATCCAAAAATTAAAAAAAAAATTCTTTATTTGAAATGGAACTACTGTGTTGAGAAAATTTGAACGTTCGACCGGAACTGAATAAAAATGAAGTGCGCGGCAACATTTTGCAAAAACAATGCGAAGACGAGAGATGACAGTCGCTCCATGACAGTATAATTTCTGTTTTGCTTGCAGCACAATCATTTTTATTAGGGTTGATGCGTATATTATGTCACGCTCTAGGAAGAGGGGGGGGTCTCAGATTTTGTGACAAGCAATGCATTAGGTATAGGAAAAAGTCACGATAGGGGGGGGGGGGTAAATTTCTCCTCGATTTAGCGTGACAAAATTAATGCATGGGCCCTTACCACAAAACAAAATAAAACGTTTCGATTCAAAATGGTTTTTTATCAATTATACATGTTGTATTCAATTGAATCAACAATAAATAAATAACAGATATCAAATATTAATATTTTTTCATCATTGAGAACAATACTCCTTTCTGGTGAATTGAGCGAACAGTAATGTTTATTTACTTTGCTCGTTTGGTTCAGCGTTTGACGGTTCGTTTGATTCTTTTTGCTTCAGTCAATGCGTGCCTCTATTCAACGGCTCTGCGTCCCATGTTCGACCGTCAAGCGTTCCGAAAATGATTAGAGCACACCATGAACAGTGGATTTAGTTAAATTAAATTTTTGGAAATTCCTTTATTGCACAGACTTATTGACAAACCAAGATTTGCATTGCGTCCGTACAAAATCCACTCACTCACGTGTTTTTCATTCATCGCCATCTTGAACACTAAACATGAATAATACAATGGCTCCTAGCTATACGTGCAATTTGAGGATGTCCGGATTAATGTGGAATAAATCACCACATTGCACAGTGGTCTAGAACTGTAAAAGACGGTCAAAAGTCATTATCTCATGAATATTGCATTTTAGGCTAGTGGTATCTTAAGGAAAGTTTATGCCCTTCTTTTGAAATTAACAAATCAATGATTGATCCTCCTAGAAAGGAGATTCAAAAAATCCTTATTCAGGTTTTGTGTTACCGGCAAAGTCTTAAAAAATATCAAAACAAAAGAGTTCGCTGAAGACACTAGGTGTCTATTTCTTCATCTCATTAAAATTTGGAACGTTTTTGGTGGAAAACCTTAGTAGAAACTTTTATTAAGAGGTTTTCCACCAAAAACGTTCCATATTTCAATGAGATGAAGAAATAGCCACCTAGTGTTTCCAGCAAACTTTGTTGTTTTCATATTTTCTAAAACTTTGCGAAAGACACCGAACCTGAATATGGATTTTTTGGAAAAATAAATTTTGAATCTCACTTCTAGGAGGATTAATCATTGATTTGTCATTGTCAAAAGAAGGACCTTTTAATATCCAGAAACTTTCCTCAAGACACCACTAGTCTAAAATGCAAGATTCATGAGATAATGACTTTTGACCGTCTTTTCACAGTTCTAGGCCACTGTGCATTAGACTGATGCAAAATTTGAAATTTTGCTTCACAGTGCTCAAACGGTTCCAAATTGGGCCCTCATTAGCCTCCCAAAATTTGAACTCATTTAGTGAGAAACTGACTTGGCACAAACCATTTGAAGTTTATATGGGAATTATATGAAGAAACCATAATTTCGGTTCATATCTACCTCAAAATTCACCAGTTTACTCTTCTCTAAAAATGATAGCTGAACTTGTTGAAAAATTTCTCAGCTACAATTTTGTTAAAGACCACTTTTCGATCAAATGTAAGGTACAAAAAATATTAATGATTCAAGTCACTGATGTCTTATTATTATGCTCAATCATCTGTTCAGCAGGCAACATTGGTGTTTATGGCGCGTAGAATAGAACACAAAAATCATGGCTACTATGTCACACTGCAGAATACAATGTTGCCCACAATACAGTTGCTTAGTCTTGCCATAAGAATATCAATCTCTTAAACAATTAATAACTATTTAATTTGACGTTTGGCTGAAAAACGATTTTCTGCAAAGTTGTAGCTGATAAAAATTCCCATAAGAATAGCAATAGAATTTGTTAACAGTACAATATGTAAAAAGGCTAGAAGACAATGAACAAAAAGTTTTGTTTCCCCATAGTAATTTCCATATAAACCAAGTTAGATTCTTTTTAAATGAGTTTAAACTTTCGGAGGCTAATCAGGACCCGATTTGAAACCGTTAGAACACTGTGGAGCAAAAATTTCAAATTTTGCATCAGTCTACTGTGCATTGTTACTCTACGTAAGGATGGTGTGGCATCCTGGATACATCTTAACGATAGCATTTAAAAGTTCCTAGGCATAGTACGTATTGTACTGTTTCGGCTAGCCTCAAAATACAACTAGAAAGACAATATTTTATGGAAATTTATCACGCAACTAGTACATTTTTTTTTCCTTTTAAGCCTTTCTAAAAACGGGGAAACGAACCATTTGGAGACCTACTTCATTCGGAGAAACGTATTTAGCGGAAAGGTCATACAATCGTACATACCAGCTACTTCAAGCATTATTGGAGAGGCATTTGCTTATACTTTTATTAGTTTCACTAATCTTATCATGCTTTCCATTTCCACTAATCGTATGTTTGCATCTCATCCCACAGGCAATGATTTACATCCATAGTTCAGCTTTAAACTACCATGGGAACCTTAAGTCATCCAACTGTGTAGTGACCTCTCGATGGATGCTGCAGGTAACGGACTTTGGTCTGCATGATTTGCGGCACTGCGCCGAGAATGAGTCCATAGGAGAGCATCAGCATTATCGAAGTAAGAGGCCTTCCCACCACCGCAATGACATGCCACAAATTGATTCCTATCTGTTATTTACTGACAATTACAGATTTGTTCTGGAAGTCCCCCGAGCTCTTACGGGCAGAACAACGCAACGAGCACACCTACGGTAGTCAGAAGGGGGATGTGTATGCTTTTGCCATCATCATGTTCGAGATTATAGGACGTCGGGGCCCGTTTGGGTACAGCGATTTGGAGCCGATCAAAATTATCGAATTGGTTCGGGCACTTCCGGAGGAGGGCATTGAGCCATTTCGTCCGGATATCAGGAGTGTGATCGAGAACGAATGCGTTGCCGACTATGTGATTAACTGCATCACGGATTGCTGGGACGAGAATCCGGACCAGCGGCCGGATTTTGTAACGATTAGGTATGGGTGAAAGGTTAAATCTTTGAGTTCATACGATCTGAACAAATTGTTCCATTACAGGAATAGATTGAAACGTATGCGAGGTGGTAAATCGAAAAATATCATGGATCAAATGATGGAGATGATGGAAAAGTATGCCAACAATCTGGAGGAGATTGTGCAGGACCGGACGAGGCTGCTGTGTGAAGAGAAGCGAAAGACAGAGGACTTGCTGCATCGCATGCTCCCGCAGCCTGTTGCGGAAAAGCTCACGATGGGCTTGGGAGTGGAGCCCGTATCGTACGATTCGGTGACGATCTACTTTAGTGACATCGTTGGTTTTACAGCGATGTCAGCTGAAAGTACGCCCCTGGAGGTGGTAAATTTTCTCAACGATCTGTACACGGTGTTCGATAGAATTATTAAGGGATATGACGTGTACAAAGTGGAAACGATCGGTGATGCATACATGGTGGTAGGTATTGATAAACGATTTTTGTTTGTGAGGAATTTTCTTTGAAAGCTAAACTATTTTAATTTTCCAGGTGTCGGGTTTACCCATCGCCAACGAGAATCGTCACGTCGGAGAGATAGCCTCGATGGCATTGGAACTTTTGGAGGCCGTACGAACTCATCGAATCTCACATCGTCCAAACGAAACACTTAAGCTGCGAATCGGCATACACACTGGCCCGGTAGTGGCCGGTGTAGTGGGACTTACAATGCCTCGGTACTGTCTGTTTGGCGACACGGTTAACACAGCCTCGCGAATGGAGTCAAACGGAGAAGCGTTGAAGATACACATATCAGGTCAATGTAAGGAGGCGCTTGACAGGTTAGGTGGCTACGTCGCAGTCGAACGGGGGCTCATCTCAATGAAAGGGAAAGGTGAAGTGATGACCTATTGGCTGGAGACAGCTACCGATACAGCCATCCAGAAGAAACCGGTCGACTTTCGGGATCTACCTCCACCGTTGTTTTGTAGGCCTAGGCGATCTCCGAGGCTTAATTACGATTCACGGCACGCTAGTGTCATCGCAATTGCCAACTACGCTGCGGGCAGCCGTCGGCAGTCCAATGCACTGAAAGATCTCGAAAGCAATTACAGTCTGCAAGGTTCGTCATTTGAACCATCGTGGCGAGACTCGCCCCGTGCCTATCAACGGAGGCTTGAACGTACTCCACTGTGTATCAATGACGACTCCCAAAGTACTTTAGAACAGCAAAATGCAATAGGTAAAACCGATTCTAGTGATAGTCTAGTGAAGAAAATCATCTTTAACAATAGCAGTAAGAAGTTTAGAAGTAAACTCCGAACGATCGCCTCTACGGATGATTACCACAACATCTGCAGTTCGGGGACGTTTATGCGGGAGAGTCGGTCGTTGGATCCATTTCCCAGTGACGTTCGAAGACGATTGGAAAGTATTAAGTTGGAAAGAAAACCTCGCATGGTGCAGAAGGGCTCGCATTCACTTGATGCTGGAGTATCCACGATCAGCAGTGAATCGATCGACATGGATCAACCATCCAAGATGGTGATCACAACGGTGCCTGAAGACTGTAATCAAGGGGATGCCCACAAGTATCTCAACAACAACTGCAACGGTTCGATCGGCAATAACGAAGAATCGCACTGTCCGCTGTTGATGCGTCAGACATCGTTAGTGACTCCCGGTCAGGAAGATAGTCTTAGCACCCACAAACGCTGGTACTCGTTAGAGAATGTGGGAGCACCGGACGACGACAGTTGTAGCAAAAAGTCGCTAACACGGGGTTCCATAAAATCGTGGCTTGTCGGTATCATCGGGTTCAAAACAAGTGATTCCAGTTTGCGGAAGGTGGGCGTGCTGCCAGTTGGTGTGGCTGGAGTGACGGGTTTCGGAGAGCTGCAGTCGACGCCTGAGAAGGAAAGCATGGTTTGATATAGCGAGAGGACAATGGAACGGGTCGCCTCTAGATAATAGCATAAAAGTGTCCAAATATTGTATCATAGTTAGGAGTTTTTATCAATGTGTACTTGATGAAGTCGGAACGGTGGTGAAATAGGATGGCATACGAATTTTAGCATTGACAAAGCACCTAGAAGTCGAGGCAAGTTTGACTCAAAAGTAACTGTTCAAGCATTCTGATGCTTTCTTGGAAGGATGTTATTTTTAATCACGCCACCATATGAAATCGTATTTGGTCTGAATTTAATTGGGTCCATTGAAAAGTCAAAAATAAACCTCGACATTCATGAAGCGAAGTGATTTGAAAACTTTTCCATTTGCTTCCCTGCAGTTCCTGAGACACCAAGATAAAGTTTGACTTGTGAAATTGCAATGCGTCATCATAACTTTGTCGTACAATGTTTTCTTTTTCATTTCACGCAATACCCAAAGTTCTATAACATAACACCCACTTACAAATCAGTGTTCTTTGAGCTCTGCCACAGTTTTTAATCTTGAGTGCAAGCTCCACACTACGAAATTAATACAGACTTCGGTAGTTTTTACTGTAATCTCTACAGTTGAACTGTTTGGTAAAATTTTGGCAGTCAACCTTTATTGTTTTAAAGCTAAAATAAAAGGAAAACTTCACTACAAAGACACGATTTGATGATTTGAATAAGATTGAAAGTGCTTTGAATTTTTTTTTCTGGGAAAAATAGGCTTTAAATTGTTGGTCAAAGTATTACCAAACATTCAGTTGTTGAGATTTTTGTACAAAAGACTACTCAGTAATTTCCGAGTGTGTGGAAATTTTGAACCAATGTCACGCTCTTATTCTTCATATTCTTCTTCTTCTTCCAGTCGTAGGAGCTGTCAAACTCCCACTGTTCAATGGCACAGCGTATTCGCTATAACGCAATGTCACACTCTTTGTTCTTTAAACCCCGTCCGTTTAACGTACCATTTTAAAATTGACATTTGGCTTTAGTACATTGAATGAAAATCAAAATGAAGCGTGCCGTAAGCGTGTGAATTTTCTCGTCTTTATTTACACGCTTTCTTTCAGTTGTAGTAGCGTGAACATTCAAATTAGAACGAATTTCAGTGGTCTGTTGGAATAATATGCATTTCTTACATATAGGGGAATTGGCTCTAATGTTGGCCTATCATTGCAAAAAATCTGCTATTTATCAATTTTATCTAGAGGAACGCGTCATTAAGACGTTACTTGTGGATATTTTTAGTCGCAATTGAAAATTTAGTTGATTGCTGAATTTTTGTATGGGCCCAAATTAGGGGCATTTAGGCCGACATAACATCCATTTCCCCTATGTGTATATAAAATTAAATAAATAAAAGAAAGCATAGGAGTAAGGCTTGCATTTTTCAAGGGAGTATCATACTGAGAGTAATGCCGCGGATTAATTTGTATGACCTACTATGAGCATGAGCATTCTTCCGCTCTTCGCATGTCGGTCCCATAGTCGTTTTTGTCAAAACTGAGTTTTCAATGCAAATGGTAGCTAATTACCCATATTTTCATAATACTGGATGAACTCATCAACTTTGTTTTGAAAAAGTTTGGAAAGGCAGTCACATTGGTTGTCCCATCACATAAGAAACAATGGTACGAAGCAAACATAAAACGCGATTTTCTTGGCTTGTCGATTTTCGCTACGGGAAGGACATGCGACGAGCGGCAGTATTTATATAATAATTATGAGCACTATACAACAACTAAACACAAAATATACAACTGTGACCATGGATGTGCCTATAATTTATTACACAAATAATGCTCTTGCTCATAGTTTGTCATCCAAGTGTATCCGCGGCATAAGAATACATTTTAATATTTCTCGATTATTTTTTTCGAAGGGACGTATGAGCTTTTGTAACCAATGCATTCGATCGACGATTTGGCGCAACTGGTAGCTCACCCACGTATACTAACACTACCATCAGAAAATGGAAATTTTCCCTACCTGATAGTGGTGTTAGCATGCGTGGGCGAGCTACCAGTTACGCCAAATCGACGATCTAATGCATTGTTTACAAAAGCTGATACGTCTCTTCGAAAAATTAATCGAGATTTTACTTCATAAAACAAGTTTTAGACTGCTTGAATGCCGAACCAACGAAGCGTTCTTCCCAGTGAAATATCTGTTAGGGCACGGGTTCTAAATGGTATTAGTGGCCGAGACTTAAGATACGTGTTTTGCATGTATAACTTTTCCAAGTTCCTCATTTCCTCATTGTGATAGGTGGTCACGCCATGATCCACCTTAATCCGCTGACTTGCTCCTGCTTGCTGCAGGACCAAGTGCCACGCCGTCCGAAGCGATAATGAGCAGAGGCATGACAGCAGCGCTGCTTTATGTCTTTTCAGGCCCAAGCAGAACGATGTAGAATCAAATGGTACTCGATTATGACGACTGGGTTAGGGAAAATCGTTTATTTCATGTAAACAGAGATAAAATTATCATTTGTACATTTTTCAAATGTGTTTTTTTGTTGTGGAAAATTGAAAAAAAAAACATTTATTTCATCAGATTTGTAATGTAATATCCTATCGATTGGCGTATTTGGATTTTATTTTCATCTATAAATGACAAAGTTACTAGCGTTAAAAACCTAACACTATTTTACCACACATATTGTTTGATTTGCACCCCAGTATAGTCGAAAAAGACGTAGCTCTACGTCAAAAAAAAAAAAAAAAACAAAATCGACATCCTACTTCAGACGCTTAGATCACTTTTAACGTCTAACACTGTCCAGGCAATTATTTGACGATGGGCACATCGCTCTGTTAGATGGGCCTTCCTGCGGATCGAACTCCTCGAGCGGAATACTTGACGAGGCTCGCTCCTCATCTACCACTAACGACCAACATCGAAATCATCTCAGCAACAAACAGTTCGATTTATTTACTTTAATTATGAGAAAGCGAAACGACGAACGTACACTTTTCACGGGTTTCTCTGCGCTGTTACTTATGACAAACGGCATCTTCATAGAAATCGGAAGTGAAAAATATTTTGATCGGAAGGTGATTACGTCAAAAAGCAATTTGACTGGTAAATAAATTTAAAAATGGGATGTAATCCTATATTCAGACAGTATACAGGGTGCTTGACGAATTTTTGCAGTAAATGGCATATTTGAGAAAAAAATACACCAGTTAGTTATTCTAGCAATGAATTTTGTGCGATTTATTTTCTTTCGCAACATATGGAAGTTGTAAGTAAATTTATTCAAAAAAATTGCCTTCCCTTTCGACGACTGTAGTTAGACGCTTCCAGAGCACATCTATCTGGCTTCTCGCGGAAAACAAGCTTGCTCGCTAACTCGTAAACAATATTGCATAAAAGTTCTATAGAATATATAGAAACGTCAAAGTGATCAGATGCCAGCGCTGCGGCGAGTAGTTCGCGGAACTGATAATATTCAAATCAACCGTTAAATGCATGAACGAAGATACACAATGAAGAGTTACGTCTGTTTGTCTGTGGAGATACTATGTTTTCAAAAAAAAACTTTTTCAAAGTGTTACGTCTGTTTGTCTGTGCTGATATTATGACGCCCTGATACCAACCGGTGGAAACTAACGATTTTAAATTGGCTCACTACGTGACTAGGCTATTGGTCCCAATCAAACGATTAACGTATCCCATTCTAGTCGGAATTCTAGTACTACACTATGTTTGTTTTGATTCTCTATGAAAGTTTGACAGATACAATGAAGGGTTCGTGGATTTTCCCATGTTTCGAGGGGTGCATCGATTAGCTTGGGACCGAAGATAGTACCAGAGCTGAGCCAAAAAGTTGAGCACATTTCTTCGGGACCTACTAGTCTTAGAGTTACCTCTATGGGTGCATCGATTAGCTTGGGACCGAAGAGAGTACTAGAGCTGAGCCAAAGAGGTGAGCACGTCTTTTTTGGGACCTGCTGGTCTTAGAGTTCCCTCTATGTTGATACTGAGATCATCACTAAAGCTCATCAGATTGCCAAAGAATTCCGTGATCCAAATTGCCTGAAAGCTCTGTTGTGCATTTAGAATTGGAAATTGGAGATTTTTTTTTTAGTTCTTTATTAAGGAGATTTTTAGCCTATAATTGGAGAAGTTATCTAGTACCGAGATGTTTGAATAGCGAGGATCGAAGAAAATACGTGCGCTATAAACAAATGCACGGGTGAACTTTTGTCATCTACGGAACAAAAATTGACACAACAGCCGGGCCCTGTTTACTAAAAATGAACACAAGAATAATGCTCGCATAACTTTTGAAAAGTGCCTATCATCTGTTGTAAACACCTTCCTAGGTCCTTTTCACGAGAACCGAAGTACGCCCACGCAAACCAAGAGCACTGTTGGGAAGGGGAGAATTTCCCCTACCCGAAGGTGTTGTTAGTTTGCGTGAGCGTATTCGGTTCGCACGAAAAGGGCTTAAACTCAAATCCATCCGTGCACTCGTCTATTGGCGAATCAAAGCAAAGCCAAAACTGGTCATGCAACACCTAGTTTTCAGGTCCGCAATTACACAAAACGTCATTAACACCCACTCGCCATCACTTTGATTCTTCAATAGTCCATTCTATGCGCACGAGTATTGATGGTCCGAAATTGAGGATAACAACATAGAGGTAACTCTAAGACCACTGGGTCCCGAAGAAAATCATTATTATTTTTGGCTCACTCAGTACCAGAACAACGGTCCCAAGCAGTCCCAAGCTATTTCACTCACCCCTGCATGTTCTGCATGAATCCACACACCCCTGATGTTATCTGTCAAACTTTCATAGCGAATCAAAACAAACATAGTGTAGTAATAGAATTTCAACTAGAATAGGGTACGTTAATCGTTTGCTTGGGACCAATAGGCTACTAAAGTGGTGAGCCAATTTAAAATCGTTAGTTTCGTATTGATTGTTGGTTTTACTGTACAACGTATGGTTGTACCGTACGGTATATGGTAATACCACAGTGGTTGCTCAATCAGATTGCAGTGTGTGTTGACCCCATTACGCTACCTTTCATGAAACCTAGCATGGGACTATCTTGTAAATCTTCCGCCGTACGCACATCGCTGCCGACTTTTTGGTCTTGAAACATTGGACCTTAGACGTTGGCATTGAAATGCATTGTTCGAATAGCTTATGTTTAATTTTATAATATTGGGTGAGGTATAGTATAATCAACAATCAATACGAAACTAACGATTTTAAATTGGCTCACTACTTGACTAGCCTATTGGTCCCAAGCAAACGATTAACGTATCCCATTCTAGTCTAAATTCTAGTACTACGCAATGTTTGTTTTGATTCGCTATGAAAGTTTGACAGGTAAAATGAGGGGTTATTGGTTTTTCCTATGTTTCGAGGGGTGAATCGATTAGCTTGGGACCGAAGATAGTACCAGAGCTGAGCCAAAAAGTTGAGCACATTTCTTCGGGACCTTCTGGTCTTAGAGTTACCTCTATGGTATAATTGTATGCTCCAGAGCAGTGATGGAAAAGTTCACGAAAACTCACTATGACTCGGAAAACCCTAGGTGAACTTCGTGAAATATCGCGAACTTTTCCAACACTGCTCCAGAGAGACCATAGTCCCATAGAGGTAACTCTAAGACTAGTAGGTCCCGAAGAAACGTGCTCAACTTTTTAGCTCAGCTCTGGTACTATCTTCGGTCCCAGCTAATCGATTCACCCCTCGAAACATAGGAAAATCCACTAACCCCTCATTTTATCTGTCAAACTTTCATAGCGAATCAAAACAAACATTGTGTAGTACTAGAATTTTGACTAGAAAGGGGTACGTTAATCGATGCACTTGGGACCAAAAGGCTAGTCAAGTAGTGAGCCAATTTAAAATCGTTAGTTTCTACCGGTCCTTTCTATATGCGCGAGTATTGATGGTCCTAAAGTGAGGATAAAACTGAACAACAATTTGGCGATAAAAAACTTCGCACTTGAAAATGGGGAAAATCTGGAATTTATTGCTTGATATTCTTAAAACCGCTGGTAGAACGTCGTCCCCAAGCTGCTCGCCAATATGATTAATTGTGAATAAAAGATTTCCTCCATTTTGACGCTTGAGCAGTATATTTTGGCCTGCTTTATCCAGTCAGATTAATGACTGCGAGCTTCAACGGTTTCAGATTCAATTTCTGGCATACTATGCTCAACCCGCCCTTGACATTCTTTTTCGAACGGATTTGTGAAACAAAAATTCTACTAAAGATGACTTTTAAATATATTTACCTCTCCATTTGTTGCATTATCAGCCGGCGCCGGTGGTGTAGTGGTAAGCGTGCCTGCTTTCTAACACCCCGATGGGTCTGGGTTCAATCCCAGCCGAGGTCGGTGGGATTTTTTCTGAGGCTTGAAAATCTCTGGTCACGTCTTCCTTCGGAAGGGAAGTAAAGCCGTTGGTCCCGGCCCATGTATATTGAATGGGTGCGGTATCCTACGCAGGTGTGGAAGCTGCCTTCCTTGCACATTCGATTGCCGTCAATGGATGGCAATCGATGTCCGTCGGTGATTGGCACTAGATTGCGGAACAGAGACCGACCTTAAATAAAGGAAAAAAAAATGTTACATTATATTTGATAAAGAGTAAGATTTTGTTAACACTTTGTTAAAATCTACTACTGTCCAAAAGTCCGCATTCGGGTTTAAATTTCGTTCAAACTCAATAAAAAGTCATTAAATTTTGATTTGCTTTGGCATACGGATGAAGGCAGAACAATAGATTTGCTATAGGAATTTTTGAGCTGTTAAATCGAACCAATTTGCTACTCTTTCGGTATGAAGAAACAAATGCAGTCGAAATTCGCTCGTCGACAAATGCAGTCGAAATTGGTATTTTATTTACTTGGGTTGCTTTTTAGTTAGTCCTCCACTGGCTGGGCCATGAACCAAATGAAAAGCAAGTGAATGTTAAAATCTCATGTCAAGTTGGATTTGCAATCAAAGATAAATTCTTCCGGTGTTTGAGCAAATGTGTTTAGGACTACGAACTACGAAATATTTGAGTTTCATTTGAAATTTTTGAAGAAAACACGAACAAAAGTTGTGCACATAATATGGTTTGCTTTTTCAAGCAACTTGCTTCAATTCGCTGTGATTGAATCCGCTTTTCGTGATATATTCTCAACCACCCACAACAAAGAATGTGAACAGCAAACTTTAGTCTTCTGTCAGTTGAACCAACTAACGAATCAAATTCGTTAGTTGGGCCGAGATGGATTTTCCAGGTCGTAAGTAAATGATTATGATGTAAACAATATCCTTCTGGTAGCCATACTTCAGAGCTAAATCTCCAGTACACTAATCACATTTCACCGCACCGTTCCGATCCCTCTCATTCTTATACGTGTCAATACAATGGATGTTAAAGAAAATGTTCCAGAACTGTTATTTAAGTCGTTCAAAATGGAAACTGAATCAAAATGTTCTTAAGTTTTCTTCTGTCCAGCAAACGTAAAAAAAAAATTGAACACAAACAACCGCATGATCTGAAAGATTTAAAACTAAAGTGCAACATTCTTGCAGGTTTTATAAAAACTCAATTTGTTCTCTCGTGCCACTAGATTCGCCGAAGCGGTGAAGCAAAACAGTTCTAGTTCTTAAGAGATTTAAAAACAAGAAGCAACCCAAAATAAGTGCCATGTTGAAAACAAAACACTTAAAATAAAACAGATACAGAAACAGCAATCTTATTAGAAAGTGTCCGTAAAACTGAAAGAAAGAGACAAATAGCTTTGATGGTGAAATGAATAAGACGGCTATTTCTAATATGATTTCTCCTTTAAATTGTAATTGATCTACACATAAATACAAAACAAATGTAAACAACAATCAGGACTTTCTATTCGTTCATTACAAACAGTGTATAGTTTTAATGAATCATAGGCTGTGAAATAGGATAAAATTATATGGTAACAATACTGATAGGGGCTGACAATTTCACGTTTTATCGTGTTTTGAGAGTGGGACGAAACACAAGTGACTTTGGTTGTACTAAACGTGTACCATAACAACATTATTGTATGGACTATGTATCAAAACATAAAACTGGTAATCATGTTCACCACTTTTCATTCTCCAAATTAGATAAAAATCGTTCCGATCGGATGCGCTTAACTGTGTTGAAAATTACACTCTAAGTCATTGTGTAACTATAAAAACGAAATTCATACAAAGAGGTGAATCCCTTTCTGAATCCGTTACAGTTTCTATATTTTGTTTCTGTTTGACAGCGAAGCTTAAAATGTAAGCATTACA